GGTTCGAAAAATCTAAAAATGAAGAAACATTCAAAAAAACACCCTAAAATTGTTCGGAACCAATCATTGGCGAAGGTAAACATTTATTAGTTTCGTTTCTAATTTTTTAGTTTGGTTTAGGATGGTAAAATCAGTGTTCTACGTGTTTTAGACAAGTGTAGATTAATTGTCTTAATTTTGAAGATTATTTGTAGTTGTGATGTTCTGATTTTATAGTTTTAGATATTTTGTAGTTTTTTGTAGTTATACTATTAGGTAACTTGTACTATTTGAAGCAGAATTGTAGTTAGTTCTTTTGTTGCTGCCTTTTTGTAGAAAATGCTTTAAATTGTAGATATTATGTAATCATTTGTAGTTATGTTGTAGATAAAATGTAGATGAATTTATCCTTTTTTATGCATAATGTGAATTAATTTATTATTTATGCAGAATGGACAGTTTTTTGCCCCACATAATGTTGGTTATGGGGTGATTAGATTCCGCACTTTGTGTGATCCTAGCATTCCTAGCCAGATTAAAGAGCTTCTATCCTCAAATGGTTTGAATCTTTTCAAAAAGACGTGTTTTGGATACTTACTGTCTCTTCCCACCATATGCATGCAAAACCAAGCCATTCATCTTCTGATGAAGTATGAATTGACCAAATCCAATGAATCATATTTTTCTGTACAGTTAAAGGGTGAAACATTAAATTTTGGATTGCGTGAGTTTGCATTAATTACTGGTCTAAGATGTGTTACACAGGTTACTAATTTTGGTTATACTCCCATTTATGTTAGCAAAATAATGAGCAGTTATTTTCCTAACAAATTAAGAGTGGAGAAGTCTTATTTGAAACAGATCGTAACCACTAGATCCTGGGTAAACGATGAGGATGTGGTGAAGTTGTGCATCCTTTATCTTTTAGAATTTTTCATTTGTCCTTCGGAGAAAGATCATGTTTCTTTTGTATATCATTTTAGGTTCTATTTGGTAGAATCTGGGCAGTATGAGTCATACCCATGGAGTATTAAATTTTTCACCCAGATGATGGAATCTGTTACGCACAGACTAAATCCGTATGTACATTCTTATCTCATACGGGGATGCTCACTAGCATTGCAAGTATGGCTTTATGAGTGTTGCTCTACTATCAACACTGATCTAGCTACGAGGTGTTCTAACTCAATACCTCGCATACTAAGATGGTCAGCTACTAAGGGGCTGATTTGGTTAGCTGCCTTTGAAGAGAAGATGATAAAGCCTGAGTGGATAAAGGTATAGTTTCTTTTATTACGATTATACATTTACCTTCAACATATCTACAAGTATTCTACATTTTCTGCCTTGATCAAACTAATTTATTTTTCCTCATTCAGTTTACCAACATAGTTGAATCTGGAGAAGAGATTGGAGTGCTGATTTTGCCCGACAAAATTGAGTACAAAGTTCAAGAAGGTGAACAAACATCTAACGTTCCCAATGCTGATCCTCCTACGTTGGAACCCAAACAAACAGATGGAGAAGAGGACAAGGAGTCTATTGCTGAGAAGATCAGTAAATTAGAAAAAGGAATTGAGCAGGTAATACATATAAACTACAATATATCTACATTTATCTACAATATATCTACATTTCATAAACTGTCTACCAAATATCTATAAATTTGTAAATTCTGATATATATCTTTATATAATTGCATATGTTGCATTGTATGTTAGGACATATTATGAAGTTAACAACTTACTATATTGTAACTTGTAGGTTGATGGAAAGCTTGAAGATTTTAGGAAAGCTGTCTTTGTAGAACTCGATAGCCTTTGAGTGTTTATAAATGATTCTATGCAGACTGTTTTGCAAATGATAAACAGTAAAAATGTGCAAGATGATGCAAAAGTAAGATCTGACTTTTATTTTTATAGCAAAACAACTTATATATTTTTAAAATTTATACAAACTAACATAAAACATTCAGTTTGCTGGCAGTTCAACAAAAAACAATGACCAACAAAAAGACTTGAACAATGAGCATTTTCAGTTCAATATTGGGGAACAAGTGCAGGCCAGCACCACCAAAACAGGTATCTACAAAATACCTACAAAGTATCTACAATTTGTGTCAGTGAATATACAACATATCTACACTTATCCACAAATTATCTACAATTTTGATAGTTTATATGCTACAACTTTCAAGCCACCATTATCCAGTATTATTTACCATTTTTAATTATAAAACAGAACATGTTGAAGGTGCAGTTGGTCAAGAAAATCTTCCATCACATGGTGATTTATATACACATTTTCAAGTTGCAGCTGATGAAGACAAAGCAGGTATCGTACTGTCATTCAGAGATATTTTCTTGTTGTTTATAAATTTCAACATTCTTGTTAAGTAAGATATGAATTGTGTTACAGTGATGGAAGATATCAATGCACAGTCCAGGATTCACGGAGTGACAGTAGCAGCTCAGACCAAGCAGGTCATCGAGGAAGATGACAATGAAGGTGCAGATGCAGAGTATGTGGATCTAGGTGATTCAGAAGGATCAGGAGTTGAGAAGAATGGGGTCACACTAGATGATTTTGAGTTGCTTTGACAACTTATCCCAGTTGGTTATGTTTGGCGAGCCCATACAAGATGATGCAACACCTATGCATCCGGAGAGAACAAGGCATCCGAGAAAGTATGCCCGATCACCATTTATCCCTCTATACAGTTCTGGGGGCAGCAGCTCGGTTGGACCTAAAATTTTCTACCTAAAGCACCCTTTTACTACTGTTATTGGTGAAAATGTAGAACCGGATGTTTTAGAGAACTTCAGCAAGTGGTTATACCACTCTATTGACAAAGGTTCAAAGAGGTATGAATGCGTAATTTGACAATTGCAATTCAGCATTTATCTTTTACATATCTAATTCAATCTAGAATTTTTTTTGTCATTTATTAGTTGTCACAGGAGGAAGGCTCTGTTTTCCATAAAGGATAACAAAATCAAGCCTTGGTTAGACCTTGGAGTGGAAAGGTTGATAAGAAGGAATGGTTCTATTCCCTGGCTCACCCCGGTCAAGTCCTTAATGACTCGGTAAGTATCAAGGAGTCTATTTCCAATATATGATTTGTAGATATCTTGTCTTCTGTTTTGTAGTTTAATTGTATTTATTTTATAGATATCTATAATATATGAAGATGACTTGTAGTATAAATTGTATATATGATGTAGACATAATTCTAAATGTTGTTTTGTAGTTTAAATTGTAGAACTGTTCTTGGACATCTTTTTATATTTTTTGTTTCTGTTTTGTAGTTAATTGTGGTTATAATATAGTTATATGTAGATTATTTGAAGTTGACTTGCTATTTATATGCCAACTATTTTTGGTTGCAGCACATTAATATTTTAATGTATTACTTGAGGAAAAGAGGCAAGTATGGCCCCAATAACACGACCAGGTTTACCACAACGGATTGTGTGTTCAAGACCAGGATAGAACAAATTTATGAAAAGTTCATAAATTCACCTCCAGAAAAGAGGTATTCTGTTGTTAAACCCCAAGATGTTGTTGCAGAATATATTTTGGGGTATAGACTACTTGCCAATGTTGCATGGGATGAAGTTTACTATGTGATCATGCCCGTCAATATTGTAGAAAAATTCCATTGGGTGTTGGTTGTTTTCGACATTGCAGACAGGCAACTTTATGCATATGATTTCATGGTCTCTTCACACAACCATCAAGCTGTTGAATCCTGTGTTGATAAGTTTTCTGTTATTATCCCTTTGTATTTGTCATGCACTGGTTTCTATGGGAAGCGTAAAGACATTAACTTCAAGACTACAAAGGCATACATCGAAAAACCAGTTACCGACCCTCTTAACATTCAGTGGCTCGTTGGAGAGATTCCACAGCAAAAAGAAGGGTCATTGTAAAAAATCTATTCTCTCTTTCTATGCATTTAATTCTTTTTTTATTTCTAATCATTTGGTAAATATTTTTTAAATTTTGTATTTTGCAGCGATTGTGGTGGTATTTGTTGCTGCCTTTGCTGAGTATGTTAGCCTTGGAGATTTGTCAATTCCCGCAGAAGACCTTTCTGATATTGAGCAACATCGTAGACGCTATGGAGCACTCCTATGGGACTATGCTACAAAGAAGCAGGAAGATGGGTCAATCAGTGAAAGTGAAGTTACAGGCAGACTAGCAAGGAGGAAGGGCGCACCTGCATTGAATGAGAAAACAAGAGTACAGAGAAAGAAGAAGTAGTGTCATGTATATGTAATTTAGTTGATACTAGTTTGTAGGATAAGTATAGTACACAACTTTCTGAACAATTCCTTTGTATTTTTATTGTAGCAGACCTTTTTTTTTGTTAATTTCTATCCAGTTTAGTAGTTCACTTGAAAATAACTTGGTGGTTTTACCTCCAGTTGTTTAATATTTATAGCACTTGTTTTTCATTATCTTAAACGTAGTTATTATGTTGTCAGAATACAAATTATTTACAAAAAAAACTTCAAATTATCTACAATCTGGAAACACTAAATGTTGAGATTCTATATAATTTATAGTTGAATATGTATATAATTTGTAGGGATCTACCTCCAGTTGTATTTAATTTCTGTATAAAACTGCCATTTCAAGTTAAATTAATTTTTTTAAACTTGTAGTTATATTGTAGATAATGAATATTAACTGCTATGTACAGAATGTAAAAAATGGAGGTAGATGCTTGACACAATACAGAAAAATATGTTAACAAACACAGAAACAAATTGAAGTTAACTACATTATGATCTTTAAAAACTTAAACGATTACACACAAAATTCTGTTAACTTGAACACACTAACAATTGTTTTGAAATACTATTCTAACTACATGATATTTATTTATTTTTGGGAGCATTCTTGCAAGATCTTTTTTTATGTCCTTCACCTCCACAGTTTCCACATGAAACCTTGTACTTCTTTAACTTTAATTCATCATATGTTTTGTATCTTTCCTTTTGAGGTCTTCCTGGCTACTTTTTCTCTCCCGTAGGTGGATTTACTACTTCATCAGATATATGTTGTGCCACATTCCATTTGCTTTCATCAGGAAGGGGATTTATTGGTATTTCATATGTACACAGTAGGCTCTCCCTTGTGTAATACGGAGAGCAATAGTTTTCATATCCTTCATTCCTGTCTCTTAAAGCTGCCAAAGCATGCGCACATGGAAGTTCATCAAGTTAGAACTGGCCACAAGTACATTTCTTGCTTTCAAGACATATAATGTACCGCTTCACACCATCTATCACAGTACGGATATGATCTGTTGAAGCCCTCACCTATAATTACATAACAAACAGAAAGAAAAATATTTACAATCATAAAAATATATTATCTACAATTTATCTACAACTTATCTACAATTTATCTACAAATGTTCTACCATCTACAAATTAACTACAACTTGTCTACAATTTATCTACAATCTGGAAACACTGTATATTAAAATATTATTTTTCTGCACCAAATAAATAGATCTTACCCTAAGTTTCTGAGGTAATGTACTGTTTTTCTCCAATTCTTTGTTGAATTTGTACCCAAGGTATGTGAAAGTACCCTTTGCCTTCAACAACTTCTCTTTCGTCCAACGTTCAAGAAGTGTCCTCATATACTCTAATAGGTCAAATATTGGCAGCTCTCTTGCATATTTTGTTACAGCATTCAATGACTCTGCAATATTTGATGTCATAGTCCAAGTTCTATTCACCGTTTCATGTACTCTTGACCACCTATGATAGCCAATATCATAGAGGTATGATTTAACACGAGGGTCTATCTCTTCAATCTTCGACATCCTTTCATTAAATTCATCCAAAGTGTATGACCCTGCTGTAGCAAAGTACAATTCATTTAATTGTAGATGACCCTTCTTGAACATTGCCCTTATATTTGTCCAAATATGCCACACGCAAGAGTAGTGTGGCACGCCCGGATAGACAATTGATGTTGCCTTCAGAATACTCTCATTCCTATCTGAAACAACACACATTGAAGTTCTTTCACCATATGCTTGCTTGAATTGCTCAAAAAACCACTTCCACGATGCGTCGTTTTCCGAATCAACCACAGCATATGCCAAAGGCAATATTATACCTACATTATTAGTAAAAAAATAATTAACTGGCAGTTTTGAAAATACATATAAAAATACAAATACATATAAACTAAAATATATCTACAAAGTATCTACAATGTATCTACAATTTATAAACTGCCTACAAAATAACTACAATTTTACCTGCTGCATCCAGTGTGCTTGCTGTCAGCATAATTCCCCTGTAGGCTGTCTTTAAGAATGTCCCATCAACCACTACTACTGGTCTACAATATTCCCAACCACTTATTGATGTACAAAGAGCAACAAATGCATATAAGAAGCATTCATCTGTTGTCTTCTTCAATTTAACAACTGGACCAGGATATACAAATATTTTGGTAATTTGTTGTAGGAGTCAGCCGGATGACCTCTCAATAACTGTAAAGCCTTTTCCTTTGCCCTCCATGCTTGCATGTAGCTTAGGTTCACTCCGTGTTGGGACAACATGTCAGTTTGTATGTCCTTTGCTGTGTAAACTGTCTTAGGATCACAATACTTTGGCATGACCATGCTACCAACTACAACTGCAGTACGTTTGCGTTGTATGAATGTATCGTCCATTAAGGTGCATGTGTGTTGTCGGTTGAAGCTCCTGATCTTGAACATTGCAGAATCATTAATTGATGTTGCCTTGAAGTGCCAATTACAGTTTTCTGCAACGCATATAAGCCAATAGCTACAAAAAAATATATTTATAATACAGGTTATCAATGTAGATTTAACAAAAGGACTGTTTTAACATAAAGTAACACACTATACAATATAACTACTTTTCATCTACATATCACAAGGAAAATACCGTTTATAAAGGTCTTTTCACAATTAATATCTTCATACCTTCTGTGGCTAGATCTTTTAACCCTGAATTGGAACTTGTGTATGACAGAATAGTGCCTCATTGCAGTTGCAATTGTTTGCTTGTCTTGATACACTTGTCCTTCTTCGATAATACTTTGTGTATCTTCAGTTATTATTTCACTTTGATATTTCTCTATGACGGGAGAGGCTGGCATATCAAGTAATTGTATTGTCCCAGACAAACCTGCATGAAAATAAAGATAAACAGTATCATTACAATTTTGTAGAATCTTTGTAGATAAATTGTAGATGATTAGAAAATTTTGTAGTCAATTTTTTTTCAACATGAATTGTAGCTTAATTGTAGTATAAATGTAGTAATTTTGTTGATAAGCATGAAAACAATATTACTTTATACATCCTAAAATTGATTTGTAGTTTATTTGTAGATAAATGTAGGAATTTTGTAGATATTATCGTAAAATTAGACTTCCATAGAATTTGAAACATAACAAACCTGCACTTGTGTTCTCATTTGTAATAGCCAATTCCATATTGAAATCTCGTACACTTATGAGTAATGGATACGATCCTAAATTTTTATTCTCCTTTTTTGTCTCCATATACACACTAACCCCCATATTGTTCCTAATCTCCATTGGAGGACAATTCTCATTCACAATGTATTTGATTTCTCCAATTTTTTTCGAAGTATCAATCATTAATTGCTCTGCAATTGTAGAAATCAACATACTGTAACTTGCATCCTCATCGAGCACAATGCCATCAACTTGAAAATCTCTAAATCTGCCATAGCTATCCCAATTGCCATTAAAATGTAGCATGATTGGGATTTTGGACATGATTCCGTATCGTTGCTGAGGTATTCTTCAATATTTTGTCGCTTTTTTGATTTTTTGGATTGAGAAAAAAAGACGAAGAACAGAGAATCGGCAGAATTGAGTTCTACAATTTGACTTGAATTTGTTGAATATTTTGTCGCTTTTTTGATTAGTGCATTGAGGAAAAAAGTCGACAAACTGAGATTTGTAGAACTGATTTCTACAATTTGAAATTGAGCTTCTGATTTCGACGAACTGAGATTTTGATTTGTAGCGATTGTGAGAATATCAAAGAACAGAATTTGATTATAAGTTGAAGATAAAGTATTTCCGTGATATGATTTGATCTGATTTACGCCAAATCTTTTTAGAATATTCTGTTCCTGAATTTTAGCTCGACAAATTAGGAAGATTCAGCTACTATTAATTAGTATTTAATGATTGGTATAATAACTGTAGAAAAAATGTGGACAGGGCGGGTAAATTAGAAACTATGCACATTTTTGGTAATAAGGTTTCATATATGGTATAGGAAAGAAAAAATCTCAAAGGTAAAATAGTTTGGGCTGAATAGGTATAAAGTGAGATTTTCTCTTCAAATATTAGTTGAATGAAGCACTTTCTCTTTCAAGCCGTCGTAATGATCGACAGATCGAGTATCTTATTCTTATGTAAGTTAGGAGTATTATTAAGTTAGAGATTTTTTACACTATCAATGTACTTTAACGGTTTAACCCATTAAATGATCCGATGGTTTAAGAGCCCGTTTGGCTTAGCTATTTAGAGTAGCTGATAAGCATTAGGTGTTGACAAGCACTTTTAAGTGCTGAAGCTGATTTAAAAAATAAGCAGTTATGTGTTTGGATAAAAGTGCTGAAATTAATAATAAGCAGCTGAAACCGATTGATTAAAAAGTACGGATAAGCTCTTTTTATGTTAAAATGACTTAAATGACCTTATAACAATTTACACTACTAAAAACGTCATTTTCTTCAAAATTTTAGATTCTACATAGATTCTACCTATTTATCATGTTATTTTAATTATAAAAAAAATTAGATAATATCTTTTTTATGAATATAATTTATGTTATGATAAGTATACAATCATAAATTAGACGAGATGGAGTATAAATTAACAAAAGTTAAGAAGAAAACCTTAAATAATGCACACAGTGTTTGTAGAGAGAAACAAGCACTTATTATGTATTGTTTGTAATAAATAAGATTAAAACATTCAACTATCATAAAAATCTTGAGCAATCAGATCACGAATTGCCATCCAAATATTATTATCTCCTTGATTTTCTACATTTTCTTCATTTACAACGTTGACTCTGGATCTTCCAACATCAGGATCAACACGTGGCACATATCTCTCATTCTCTGCTTCTTGGAATGCATTGTCCATCTTACATTTCTTTCTAATGTAATTGTGAATCGCCATTGTAGCCAATACGATATCTCTTTGAGTGTCAATATGATAAAAAGGCATATCTCGCAAAATAGACCACCTTGCTTTCCATACCCCAAATGTTCACTCTACAATGTTTCTGCAAGAAGAATGCAAATAATTGGACATTTCTTTATGTCCATTTGGTGCTCGCAATTGTCGTGTCGCACCTCGACGAAATTCTGCAAGGTGGTATCTAACATTATCCCCTTTATATGGAGCCATATATCCCTTTATGTGTGAATATTCTGCATCAGCAAGATAATATTTGTCCCAGATGGATGTGGAAAATTCATTTCGGGTCTACGAAGTGCCTCACCAAATATACGGTTATCATGAGCTGCTCCTTCCCATCCAGCCCATGCAAATGTAAAACACATATTAAAGTCGACAACAACAAGAATATTTTGAGTAGGATAACCTTTATGCCCAATATATGGCATCTCTTGACCTTGAGGCAATCTTGCTTTCACATGTGTGCTTTCAAGTGCTCCAATACAATCCTAAAAATATATACATGCATAAACTAAATATAAGTTTTCACTAGATAATTTTTTGAGTTAAAATGTAAAAATATAATAATGTAATTATTAAGTATGGCACTTACTTTAAAGAAAGGGAGGTATCGTTGATTACATGGCTTGTGATCTCCTACACCATCATTATAACTTGGATGTGGTTGAATTATGTCTCTTGCAAGCTTACTAATGACTTTTAGAACACTATGAAAATGCCTATAAATTGTTTCTCCTGAATGTTAAAAAATCTCTTGTACCAATCGATTTCCGGCACCATGTGCACAAATCATCAAGAACATCCCTAACTTCTCATAGACAGACATCCCACGCGTGGGTTTAAGACCATATTTATCCGTTAGATCTTTGCTTAAATCAAGAAACACTGACTTCCTCAATCTAAAATTTTCATAACACCGAGTCTCATTTTCATGTAATATCTCTTGGATAAATATATTTCCAGTGCATTTTGATGTAGGACATGGTTCCTTGGAAATGTATTTTCATAATATATCAATATACTCTTACATGCTATTCGACATAGTGCCATCCGTATCTTCCTTTCTTGAGTTTCCTCTTCTTCATTTTCGTCATTTAACAAGTCATTGTTCCGGCTTTCCATTAAACTGAAATGAAACAGACATACAAACTGTTACGAATTAGAAATGACAAATGCTAACTTCAAAGTTGATAGTATAGTCATCTATTAAAATAAAATACGTAATGTCTAAACAAGAAATGATTAAACCACCATTATGTCTGAACACGAAACAAAACATTAAGAAAATATAACCTTCTGCACATACTTTAAAGGGCAAGTTAAAATGTCTAATGCTAATGTAATATGGGTAAGGCATCATCAACAACTTCTCAGATTGGATTAGATGGATTATTCGGCACGAAGGATCGTTGGTGGTTGTACTCCAACCAAGATTTCCTAGTTTCATCAGTAGACAACTTCAAAAATGCATGTCGCATCTCTTTCTTGTCAACAAGTTCACAGCACAATTAAAAATATCACTCTCTCCAAGAATACCAGGAATATTTTCTAAAATGTCCATGCACATCTCAATAGTGGGCTCTGAAGATTTAGATGTGCTGTCGTTAGATATGAACTCAATTAGGGAGTGTATCTCTTCTTTTAGCGAAAACAAATTATTTTTTGTCTTGCGCTTTTTCACTTGACTGCTACTGCTACTGCCACTGCCAAGCGATGGCTCAGGAAACGTAATTGAATTCATATTCTGCAAGTCATGACTTCCATCGCTTCTTTCATCATTCCATTGTTCTATGTCATTGTCATAAATATTATTTGTTCCATCATCATCTTGATCTAACCCAACTTCCGACTCTTGTTCTTGATTTGATGTATGTGCTCTCTCTCCGGTGGCAACGATATCAGTAAATAAAGCATCGTAACGAAACCATATCAGCGAAAGGTCTTTGTTCCTAAATTTTTTGTATTTAGAATTCTCCTGTAAAAAAGAATTTATAATTACTCTAAGCAAACAAATGAAACTAATAATTAATAGAGTTAAGAAACAATTATAGAAAAGGGCAAGCAATGTACCATAATTTTTTGCTCCCACCAATCATCATCTGCAATAATTATTTTTCTTGTGGGATCTCATCCTAAACTTGTCTCACCTCTCATCAACTGCTTAAAAAGAGTGCACTCTACTTTCATGTGATCCCAATGATTTTTTTTATTTGTTTTCTAGTATAATCTAGTCCCGTCTTCTTATTGAACTCATTAACCATATTCTTCCATCCATCTTTACACAAGTAAGTTATTGGCCTATTTCCGTTTCTAACTTCTTGCTCACACAATTCAATGAATTTAATATGTGCATTTCGTCCCACTTAGCATTATGTCGGTCTCCCATAATTGAATGTTAACAATCTGAAGAAATTACAAGATTTAGCTATAAACGTACACATATAACAACACAAGCTTGTTTAATAGTAATGGAGTAGCTATTTGACAACCCACTACCACTCAATCTAGGACAAATAAATTAAAAGACGCTTTTTAAATAAGAATATGGAACATATGGAAACTTTTATATATAGAAACTCTAAAATAAACTGCCCAGAATAGAAGCTATGAGAAAGCAAATCAGCAAAACACTGTGGCCCAACTGAAAGAATTAATAGCTCATCCATTATGCAAAGCAGACAAACAAACAAACAAAGAAAATCACTTGTATTTGCAATCTTATCCATTATTTCTCTCCACTGAAGGATTATTAATGAATAAACAATACTACTAGTAATTAACTTAACTTACCATAAACAAAATAATCTTATCCACAAAAAAAGTATGCAGGTTTGACTGATATTACTTACTACTACTAATCAAGCCATTGCCAAGCTCTTTTTTATGAGGATACTGATGCTATTAAAAAGAATAGAATATTGAGCTATATATCCTACAGTAATACCAAATAAATAGGCATAACTTAGTCTAGAAGCACGTAGGAGGATGAAAACATATCTTGATAGAGATAAACATATTTTTATATAAATAAAAGAAAGAAAAAAAAGAGAACAAAAGCAAGAAGACAAGAAAACTCGTGCGTAAAAGCGAAAGGCTGGCCTGTTCTGTACCGTCACTTTGATTACATGCAGAAAAACACTGCCTGAGAAGCATAAATTTGACAAACAACAAATACTCTGTAAAGTTTAAAACAGATGGGATGAAAGGGACAAAAGTAGCTTATGAATTGGGCCCCAAAACCAAAAATTGGATTCATTCAGTTTCAATTCTTTTCATCTTAGTCACACCTTGTCTTGATAGAAGCACGTAGGAGGATTTGTAAGCATATCTTGAGAGAGTGTTTAAAACATAAAAAAATTACCTGCAATTTGTCTGATAGTTTTAGAGAAGAACGAAAGAAGCACGTAATTGAGGATGCAATGGCACCGCTGGAGAGGCAAGGCTGTTTAGGTTTTATGAAGAACTGGGATAGAGTAAAACTATACGAAGAGTTTTGTTTTAAAAAGAGGTATTTTAGGGATAGAATAGTAAATATTTTGGTCAAACCTAAAGTGCTTATAAGCTGAAATTTGATAAGTTGGGAAGACCAACTCATTATTTTTGGCTTATAAGCACTTAACTTATAAGCACTTTTAATTTTACCAAACGCGTAGATAAGCCAAAAAAATGCTTATAAGCCAGTTTGACCAGCTTATAAGCTTAGCCAAACACCCTCTAAATTTATACAACTTAAACTCTAACTATTGGGGCTTAGCCAGTTGGGACGTTCAAAAAGAGTAAAAGTTTTATAGGGAGTTAGGCATGTAAAAGGATGCTCGTAGCCCCGTTAAGGGAGGTGGTGCAACTTGTAAAGCGGTGTGTTCACTGGGTTTTAAATTGTAAAAATTGCACGGGGCGCTCTATTTGGTCGCCCCCATTTAACCTATACCCAATTTTTTAAAAAGTTTTAACTTGTACCCACTTTTTAAACAACTTCAGCCCCGTTTCTCCTCCTCCTTCTCCTCCTTCGTTTCCTTCTTCTTCTTCTTCTTCTTCTTCTTCTTCTTTCTTCTGCTGTTGTTGGTGCTGCTATGAAACTTCAGTTCATGGGATGATTGCCATAAGTATGTTTATCAGATTATTTAAAAATAAATTATAAATAATTACGTAAGTTAGTAGACAATAATTTGTGAATATTTCAACGTAATTCTGTTCTTTTCACGTTTATTATTTCCAAAATTTATGATTTAGATATTGTTGGCGATCTGATTATTTTATAATAGTAATACACTATGAAAGAATAAGGTGATTATTTATCTAGTATGTTAGAAAGCTTTTTCAAAACTTCAGGTATTTTAGTGCTGAAGTTTTTACAAATGAACTAAATAACTTCAGCATCTTATCTAGGACAAAAAAACTTCAGCGTATTGCCTTTGCTACTTCAGGCCCGTCTACTAGAATGCTGAAGTTTTGCGTGATTGCCTTTGCTACTTCAGCCCCGTATGCTGAAGTTCGCGAAAAGTGGGTACGCTTGCAATTTTTTTTGCAAAGCGGGCACAAGTTAAAACGTGACCCAAAAAGCGGGTGTAGATTCAAATTCCCCTTTTAAATTAGCTTAGTCTTTATAATTAGGAGATAAAATCTGACTAATAACGGTTTCAACCACTTGTTTAGATATCACAATTTTTGGATGCCTATGGACAAGTACGAGGCTTAGAATTATGGAATATGGATTTATGAGCTACACAAATATTAAATCACGTAGCTTGCTTTGCACCTAAAAGATAAAACCATATAACGACCAAAAGTTGATAAAGATCCTCAGCCCACTTGCATCTCCCATAAATAGTACGGGCTAGCCAGTTTTCGGACCGGTCATTCAAGGCCAGCGTCTGCAAAGTCATTGAAAAGTAGCCACTATTTTGCTGCGACACGGAAAGTTCCAACATAATATACTGGAGATCGGTGCATTTGTGTATGGATTTCCAGCATATTATATTGGAACTCCAACACGTGAAAAGTTTCAGCATAATATACTGGAGATTGGAGCACCTGTGTATGAACTTCCAGCATATTATGCTGGACCGGTATATTATACTGGAACTCCAGTATATTATGCTGGAATATATTATGTTGGAACTCCAGTATATTATGTTGGAGTATTTTTCGGATTTTTACAGTAATTTCGTTCAGATTTATTTTTACATGAAAAGTGGCTAAAATTTGATTACTTTTAAAACTGTGACTATTTTCAAATGACCACTTATAAATCTAGCTATTTTTGAATTTCTCCCTTGCCTGGCCTATGCGTCTATGCCCGTAAAGTAATGAATTTCCCTTCCAAAGATTAGATAATGTAGTCTGCGGATCCTAATATCTAAATTCTAAAAACTACTAGCTTTATCCAGTAAAGCTATGCATTTAGATAAAAGAATAAAGACCTTTCGGCAGAATTGCAGTTCCCACTGGCAACAAATTCGGTTGATAAATCCGTGCATTTAGACTTTCCTTCCTTCTTTTCTCTTTCCCTCTTTCCGGCAGAATTGTCACGAATACACCCTTAGTATGAGTGTCATTGGAATTTGTCTAAAAATGAGTATTAGGTATGTGTAGGAATGGTAAAGTGGTTAAAAGAAAACAGTACCACCCGTATTATCCACTAAAAAATGGGTTGGATAATGAATTTTTTAAAAACGGGTCAAATATGGATAAGAATCATATTATCCATTTAGAAAATGGATAACCAATGGGTCTAACTTTTACATTTGTAAAGCCTCAAATTGAGGGTTCCTCAAGTTAAAGAGATCAAAGAATTCTCCCAAAAGTTATCATATGCAAGAAGTCATGGATAATATGGTTACCCATATTATCCGCAGGTTAACTCGTTTTTTTATCCGTATTAAATATGGGTCGGGTCGAATAATTTATCCGTTTTTTCATTACCCATTTTCGACCTGAACCATATCCGACCCGCCCGTTTGCCACTCATAGGTATGTGTATACTATATATAGATTGACACTGTTCGATAGTAGTACAAAGTAAAAATTAACTCGAAGAGGAAGTAAAGTATATATCATCGGGGAAGTTACATGATATACCCATATGTAAAACTCACTTTCATTATATATTTAAGTTTTGAAATTACGTCAAATATCCCAAAAATATTACATGCTATACCTTCATATATTCTAAAATATACAACGATATTCTACTTTAGAATACTATCCAAACTTGCCTTACCACAATATTCTAATTTGTCATACAATATTCTAACTAAATAGATCATAATACTTTAATTTGAAATATAATATTCAAACTAAATGTACCATAATATTCTAATATAAAAAATTCAAACCTAGCTTACCACAATATTCTAATAAAGAGTACAATATTCAAAATCTAATTTGAAATATAATAATCAAACTAAATATGCCACAATATTCTAATTTGAAAAATCCGAACCTATCTTGGGATAATTAATATTCTAATAAAGAGTACAATACCCAAATCAAACATACCACATTATTCTAATGAAGAATACAATATTAAATAAAATATACTATAATATTCTAATTTGAAATGCATTATTCAAATTAAACATCCACAATATTGTCATTTGGAATATAGTATCCAAACAGAATATATCATAATATTCTAATTTGTAATACGGTATTCAAACCAAACACACCACAATATTCTAATTTGGAATACAATATTCTAACAAAATATACTGTAGTATTCTAAGTTGGAATATAATATTCAAACCAAATAGACTATAATATTCTAGTTTGGAATCCAGTATCCAAACAAATCATATGATAATTTTTTAATTTGGAATACAATATTCAAGCTAAACATGCTACAATATTCTAATTTGGAATACAATATCCAAACCAAATATATTATAATATTCTAATTTGGAATGCATATTATTATATTTTAGAATATAGTAGGTATACATGGTAAAATAAATTTATAAAGCAGGTATACAGAGTAAAAATATATATTTTAATTGTATATGATGTAAACTGATATTTTCAATAGGCATATCGCGTAGATTATCTATATCTATCTATAATAATAACTAAAAATCATGGATTCACTTCTACCACTTTTCAATACTTCTTCCTAGTGCAAATGAACGTGGAATCAACCATGCTTCTATCAGGTAAACTGCTTATTTCACACCATCTTGGATGTGGTCCTTTTCTATTTTTCGGACCCTTTATAAATACGGGATACTTTATATTCCGAATGCCCGGAAATACCCTACTGGATTAAGCTAGTTTGCTGATATTACTATTTGGATCCACTGACTAAGGAGATTCCAACTTTTTATTCATTTTTGGAGTTTTGAGCCTTGATTTAATTGCAAGAGATAATTGTTAGGTGTTTGTCCCGATTTTTTTATCATTTTTGGTTTTCCTATCTCTTGAAGGAAGGACAACATTCTATTATAATTGAGTTTTTCTCGTAGAAGAAAATTATAATTCTTCCATACTTGGCTAGTCCTTTTTCTTGAAGGAAAAAGCTTTGACTTCTATAAATTGAGGATCCTTCCTTCTCATTCAGTAGCATTCATAATGTAGCCATAAGGGGAATTGAGAGTCTTGTTTAGGGGTAAAATTTCAGGACAAGTGTTGGTCTTCCACTTGTGTTTGCTTCTTCGTGAGGTTGTTCTCTCGATATTTTGTACTCTCTTTTATACAGTGGATTGTTTATCTCTACCGTAGACGTAGGTCAATTAACCGAACCACATTAAATATTTGTGCCTCTTTTGATATATTTCTCTTCCGTTGTCTAATTTACCGTCATTAAAGTGTTGTTTTACTAGATTGCACATGACACCTGATTTTTTCGATCCTACCAATAATCGGACCTGATTTTTTCGATCCTACCAATAATCGGATCATTGCGTATGCCATAGTTTATGATTGCCGCACCAAAGTATAGAGTACAAAAAGTACAAACACATCAAATATCCAATCAAATCCAAAGCACAAGTGCACCATTGCCATTCTGCAATTCCCATTCCGAGAAATCAATCACTATTCAATACAATTATAATCCAACACTGTACACTTTGTTGAGCGCAAATCAGTTGTCTTGATAAAAAGTCAGAACCTATTGTATTGTATGTGGAAACCAATTTCATGTACAATAAAAAAATAGTAAAAAGAATTGGACTAGCCTAACTGCCTAATCACTAAAGGGTAAAAAATAAAAATAAAACCAGAGGCCTAAAACATATCCTCAAAAAATTGGAAAATTGGAAAATCGGCATCTTCCTCTGGCTTTTCTCTTGAAAAAAATCACCTAACATTGACCCAATCATCAGCAGAAGACCATTCAGTGAATTTAGGTCTAATTTCACTCACTAGTCCTCGGAGCCTCTCCGCCGCTGAATTGTACCATGACCCAGTGTTCAAATTCAGCTTTTCTTGATTTTCCGACGAGGGCAGACAAGTAATTGAACATGTTTCCGGTAATTGATCAGAAACCCAATCTGGGAAATCAAATGGACATTTAGGAGATGTTGATGGAATTTCACTCTTATTTTCTTCATTGAATGTAACAGTGCCATAATAATCATGATCAGCCGCCACAAAGGGATGATTTAAAAGCATCTCAGCCGTCCATCTCTTACTCGGATCTTTTACAAAGCACTTTTCTAAAAAATCTTTTCCTTCTTCTGATAATTTCTCTGGGATTTGAGGCAACTGATTTTTTACTCCAATTGCCAGTAACAGTTGTGTAACATCTGAGAATTTCCAAGCTGGAACTCCGGTAACCATCTCAGCCACCACACACCCAAGTGCCCATATATCCGCCGCCGTACCCTGTTCGCCGCCGGTGACCATCTCCGGCGACATGTACAATGGGGTACCTCTTAATTCACATCGCAAATTATCATCCTTCTTGGTTCCAACTCTCTTTGCTAATCCAAAATCAGCAATTTTCACTTTACCATCTTGGCCTAAAAGAATATTTTGAAGCTTTATATCACAATGAACGTAACCAATTTCATGAATATACTCTAACCCTCTGAGCATACCCTTTGTGTATCCTTTAACTTCAAATTCCGACAACCTTTGATTTTTCGAATTCTTGAGTTTATCTGCTAAGGAACCTCCAGAAGCATACTCTAATAAAACATTGTACAAATTTTCGCCGTTTTCGAATGAATAACTATCACCAAAGCAGCGGATAATTTCAGGGCAACTTTTAAGTTCATCCAAAATTTTCTTCTCGTTGATGAGGGTAGCCGACTGAGAAACCCCAGATGATTTCACTACCATCAATGGAAGAATTTGGGTACTCTGTTTTTTGGGTATTGCAAAACTGACTTTTCCAAAACTTCCTTGACCAACAGCTTCACCACGAACCCAATCCATGAGATAAAATTTGGTAAAATTTAGGCTTTTTTTGGTAGAATAGGAAGAAGAATGTGAGAGAAGAGAGTAGGCCGCAAGTCACAAGGAACTCTGTTTAACGCATGTTATTTTATATGTATATATATAGGGGTTGGGAATGGGATAATATTCCTATTTTTGTTTGGTTTTAGTTTACAGGCCAATTAATGATGTTTCCACGAGCCGTGATGAAATATGTGTGTGTTGAGTGTGGAAGTGGCAGTAATGTTTAAAAAAGAGCACGTGTTTTTGCAAATACATTACTTCCTTATTTGGCTGAACAGAAACAGCGTACCTAAGTTTATAGAAACGTGGCTGTTAAGGTGGGAATGCATTAAATTAAATAAAAGAAAAATGAAAAACGAACTTGGTGGGACCCACACGGGGAACTTTCCTAAAATATTCTCAAAAAATATGGTAAAATTCCTTATAATCAATTAGGATTCTCCTGCTTGTTCCGTGGTTCCAATTTTACAAAAAGGTTCTTGGCTCTTTAGCCTTCTAATTCTTAAAAAAATTAAAACCTAATCGGCGCGAGTTATTAGTTGTTATCATATTTTTGTTTTTCTTTTTCTTGAAGAAAAAATAACACATATATCAGAATTATTCTAGTTTTTTTCTTGAAATTTTTTAATATAAATACCTCATATTTGGCTAATCCTATTTTTAAAGGAAAAGGTTTTGGACAATTTGTAATTGAGACTGCTTCCTTCTTTGTACCTCTTCCAGAATGAATTTTGTCAATTGTGTTTGGAATACGAGTTTAGCTTATATATACTGAGGTAAATTATATGGTGTAAATTATGATTTAACATACTATACCAATAAGGCAAGTTGTATGCCTTATTTTTGAGGTAAATAATTCTAATTATTATGAACATGTGTTCTTGTATTAATTTTTAAGTGATTCTAATTTATTTAAAAAATTTGATGTATAAAAATTAATTTTTTTTAAATGTTTTTTTTTGGTAATTAATTTCATTTCATTTCAAACAAACAGAATATAAGATTATAATTGTTTACATCTCCCAGCTCTATCTTCTGCCTTCTTTACTCTACATTATCATCCTACCTATTACACATAATTATAAGTAGGATAGTAATTCATCTCGTCTAGTCTAGCTTGTAGTCGTTGTACACATCTTCCTCGTCCATGTACTGCTTGAACTATATCTCGAACCAGCTTCTGTATGGACTACTTCATTCCTCTAAAAATTCTGTTATTTCTTTCCTGCCAGACATGATATACTGCTCCTGCAAGTGTTAGTTGATATAGTTCTGTTTTAATGCTCCTTCCTTGCAGCATTTGATTGTCCAGTTGAGTTCATCACTCCATCGCATTGCCTTTCTGCAAATCCCCTGCCATTGTAACAGCACTGTCCATAATTGTGAAGTGTAGGAACAGCGAAAGAACAGCTGATCAATAGACTCCTCTTCTTTGTTGCATAGTTCACATGTGATCTCCTCCACGTATCCCAGTCCTCTCAGTCTATCTTTAGTCATTAATTTTCTTTGAACAGCTAGATAGACAATAAATTTCCACTTTGGAACTCCCAGATTACTTTGCATAAGTTTCCTCCACGTTACTCGTTCAAAGTTTCCTCGCAGTTTTGTGTAGAAATTCTTCACTGAAAAGCTTTCCATCTTTTTCACTTCAGCTTCATTGTATCCAGCTTCCTCAAAGTATTGTGTAGCTTTGAAAATCTTCTGAATTATCCAGGAAGCTTGTTTTGCCTCAATACTCCATCCTGCTATCTGCTTCTTGTAGTACACATGCACCCACTGTACCCATAGCCTATCTTTCTTTCTGCTTAAGTTCCACATCAACTTACAAATGACAGCTTTATTCCAGACTTCAACATTCAATAGGTTTAATCCACCAGCTGCCTTAGGCTTGCACAAAGTTTCCCAGGCCACTAATGCTTTCCTAGACTCTTCAATCCCCTAGTCCATAGGAAAGTTCTGCAAACTTTCTCAATCATGTGGATCAGTTTCTTTGGGAGGAAAAATATCTGTGACCAATATATCTGTATAGAGAACAAGACACTTTTGATTAACTGAATTCTTCCTGCATAGGACAGAAATTTTGTTGTCCAAGATTGTATCCTTCTTAGCATTTTCTCTATTAAGGGCTGGTATTGTATTAAGGATAGCCTCTTAGTGCTAAGAGGTACTCCTAGATACCTCACTGGTAGCTCTCCCTTCACAAACCCCGGGCCATCTAGTATCTGCTGCTGCTGCTCTTCTCTTACTCCTCCAAATTTTTTTTAAATATTGTATGCATTTCATGTGGCTAATAGGTTACTCCAAATGTCACAGCATTTGTTGCTCTTCAATTTGGTATCCGGCACCAAGTCACAAGGTGTCAAGAGTAAAGCATCCTTCCGTTGCTACTTTCTTCCCTTTTACTTTTCCTCTCAAGCTGAATCTCGGTATCTATAAAAAGAATCAAATCAATAAAGAAAAAGCGATAGATATAGGCAGATCCAAAGAATCACATAGTAATTTTTTTTTTAACATTACCAAGAAGTAATTGAGTAAACCATTGACAGTAGTTCCACGGGCATCGAAAAGGAAGAGTAAACCTCACCAACTTTTAACGCCTGAACCATGATATGAAATAAGTAGATAAAGCATAAATCTAATTTCAAAAATTCGAAAGCGGTAAATGCGATTCGTCCAGTTCTACTACTATAATTATAGGATCATCCCATACAAATTCACTTCCAGTTAGGCAAGATAATCCGGCGTCCCCCCTTCTCCATCATCCCGATCTCTCTTTCCTGTCTGTCCAAAGAAAATAGAACCTCTTCTTGTTCAAGGTCGAAATCCTCAAATCAATCAAAATCTGATTTCACTGCAAATTGGGTTGGATTATTAAATACCAAACGAGAGGAGAGTTCAAACATTATATCACATTTTTGTTTGAATTAATCTATACTATTTTCAAGGTGGGAAGCCCAAAACTAAAAAGTTAAATTACTAAAATAACCTTTGAATAAAAATATAATTTAAAAAATGCCTGAACGATATTAATTTATATTGTGTCTTTTCTAAATAGTTGTGTTTATTTATTAATAATTATTTTTCCAAGAGGAAAGAACTACTTATCCAAAACAAAAACAAAAAGTATTCGATGCCTTGATTCGAAGGGTTGTGTTCCTTCATATTAAGAAATAGATTTTTCAAATGTGTTCCTTCACATTTTTGATCAATCACACGTCATGGTAATAATCCAAAATTAACAACGAACAATTGAATCAATTATGAGGTGGATTTCCGTATGCTTATCCTCTTTCTTTCATTTGCGAATAGGTATGTATTTGCTGTACTATTAAACTGTCTGTAACTTACAACTCTCTTCTATAGAGAAATGAGTACTTGTAGTATTGGCACAACTAATATCCTGCAGACAGTAATATGTAAATTAAAGGATACTATCGATTTTTAACATCCGGAGCTAACAATCAACATATGTTATAATTGTATTTAGTTTAAGAATTTAACTTACATTTGTTCAACCATTGCTGAATGGTTAAATTTTATTTAGAGGCTTTCATTTGAAGTAAATAAAAGATATGAGAAAAATATTTCTTCTTAAAACACATTATGTGATTCTTCATTAACGTTGAAGAATATTTTTGTTCTTCTTTCTTAAATCTTATATTTCAATTCTAAATTCTTTTCCTTGAGTTCTTATGGTAGAAGAAATTATCAAAGAATAGAAATTTAGTTTTATTAGTAGGCATTATATCCTGAGTATCGAATTTCAGTTACACCATTTTCGCAGTCTAGGGAAATTACTATCCTTGGTAAAGAGCTGCCTACATTCCTTCACATTCTAATTAAAATTCTTTACAAATTTCACTTTTAGATAGTTTTCAATATTGCAAGTGGTGGTGAAAACGTGGATGTTATTTTGCAGTAACATACTGGTAATATTATCCACTAATCACTACTATTTTAATTTGGAAGAGGCATTACGGCTTCGGAAAAAAATATTTGATCTATATTTATATTTTGAGGTAAGATAAATTTATTGCGTTAATAAATAACTTTAAAGGTCTCTTGAAGAGTCATAAAATTGTTTACTCCACTTTGAAGAGAGAGTGCGGCAATTTTGACTTGAATGGATAATATTTTAGTCCTTGAACAAAAGTTTTTAGTCTTTCTTTGGTGCATAAATTTTGAATAATTAACTTCTTTATGCACAATTTTATGATTTCTATTTTTTAAGATAATATTTGGTTTAAGTTTTAAAAATAAATATTTGAAGTTAAAGTTGAAGTTGGAAAGAAGTTTGAAATTTTGTTTGACATAAATTTCACGTGAATAAGAAGTTAAACTTTTGTGAGTGACACATTACTTCATATGAGATAATCAAACAAAACTTTAGCTTCAACATTTTCTACTTAAAAGTGAAGTTGAAATAATCGATAAAATTATAAAATAAATATTAATTTGCAATTAAGGTGTGCTCAAATACCTTTATAAATCAAATAGAAATTCCTAAGTCTGCATATGATAAAAATTTAATATTTTGCAATACAAAATTTATGAAAATTTTATGAGATAAATGTGCGACGCACGTTCAGAGAGACTAGTAAGACATAAATATCGGAGAATGTTCGGAAGTACTTCTAAATTAAATGTTCAAACAAGACGGACATGGGAGAAGAGGTTGGGGGTTTGTGAAACCTAGTTAATTTTTTTTTACTTACCACGTAAGCAATTTTTTTCTCATAATCAATAGAATTTCAATAGCAAATTACTACTCCCTCCGGTCCAAAATAAGTGATTTTTTTGGATGTTTTCACACAAATTAAGAAATTCACCTTTTAGCATTAATTAGCAATGGAATTGACCATATTAACCTTTACTATCTCACATAAACACTCCTAACACATATTCCAACACCATTTACTTCAAGGACAATGTAGGAAAAAAATAATTAATTCATTCTTGAAATCTGGAAAAATTACTTATTTTGGACCATAAGAAAAAGGCTAAAAAATCACTTATTTTGGACCGGAGGGAGTATCTTTTATTCACGTTATCTATCTATGTCACGATGATCGGTTACA